TTATTGTATAGTTCTCGAACAATAAGATTCGTCAATCAGATTACTTTGCTATACTCCATATTATGTATCGCGATCTGTAATTGGGCATTGGAATGGTGACGTTGGTAGTTCAAAGTTTACGTAGGTTTATAGTCAAGAATATCGGTCTGCTGTATCGAGGGCTAGAAAAACATCTCTTGGTCGCCCTTATTCATCAATTCAAGATGTTATAATGTAGACATGGTATAATCCTTCTACTTATACCATTAGATTTGTGGTCTGTGTAGACATTAAATGTTTATAGTCTATTACAAGATTTAAAATGAAATCTAACTTTTACCATCGGGGAAGTTAGGCCAATGGTGGTAATTATTTTCTCTGATTTAATGGTTTTCTCAGAAAATTGCTGACCTTTAATGTCTCATCATGTTATAAAGGGAGTTGACATATGGATTTACACATTAATAGAACGAGAGCTGGAAATAATAGTAGCAAAGTCGTAAACTTGTTGTTAGGCTACCATGTTGTTCGTTTTGAGGTTCAAGGAAATAATCGAAAAAACTTAATCATGGCCAAACATTTTGGCTTAATTTTAGATACCCCTAATGGAATCGAATATATTTGAACTGAAAATATTTAAATGTATTTTTGAATTATCATCTTGTCGCATTTTTTCGCTGTGCAGATAAAGAAACAACACATTTTTTATGATGAAATAAGCAATGAGTTATAACTGTGTACACTTATAATATAAATAGTTATTATTACTTCAGTAGAATTCATGTTCTTTTTAAAATGTCGCAATAGTGGCACCTGTAAAATGTCAAACGACGTCAGTACAGATATATTAATAAAGAAAGAAAGAAAGAGAGAAACAACAATATTTGACAAGGATAACAACTTGCGTTCAAAGTTAAGGATCCCTCTTGGCATTGATCTTTCTCGGATTATCCGTACCTATTTACAGCTGGGTCGACTGGAATTGTGAGTGAAGATGACTTATTCAATTAGGTCATCGGACTATCACACGCCGATCGGGAATTGCACTTTGGAAGTGCGTTTTATTCGGTTGAAAGAGTAACCTCAAACAATAGAAGAGTTTTAGAAAGATATCCTGGACTAACTTCGTGTACATGTAATTTTCTTTTTTTCACCAAGGGGGAATTGAAGGGCAATGGCAAAACTTTACTCACCGCAAACTGCAGGACGCTTCTGTTCTCCATTGGGCTCAAGTATTTGTTGTTACATGTATTAACAGTTTTTCACTGATGAGAAATCTTCACAAGCTTGCTTTAATGCATGCCAGCTATATACAACTTAAATCAAGCGCAACAGTATTACTACTGTGACTAGTTATTTATTGTTAAAATATGTCTTAGCATGTGAAAGGGTCTTTAGAAGTAATTTGATGGATTGATATATCTACGAAGAGCTCTCCAACTTGTCATTATAATGTGTAGATGTTCAATGATTCCAACTGTTAACAGTCTAATGTAGGAGCGATCTCTTTCAAAGCAAATTTCCAAGCGTGAAACTAACTCATTTCAGATGTTTACTTCAAGTGCATCATATTGTTTGTTTCGTACAAAAAGTGTGAAATGTATTTTAAAGCATGTTGACAAAAAAGTTAAAGTGATGGAATTTTTTTAATCAAATTTCTCAGATGGCTGTTGTCGATATGAATTGAAATGGCGTTTTACATCTTTTTAAAGTGATACTACGTCTTAGAATTAAAATACAATTTAAGAATTTTAAACTTGGCGAATGAGAGCCAGTAGATATACCTGGTGTCATAAATAACATAACAGGATCCTTATATAATCCGATAAATCCAAAAAACTAGTAATTATCCATAAATATTCAATTAACTATTGAAAAACGCGTAATATCAAGATTAAGCGTTTTGCATTGATTACTTAGTTTTATGAATTTTCCAATTTTCCAGATTTTACAGTGATTCTGTTGTAACTTTATGACACCAGGTAAGCTAACGGATGAATATATACTTATATTGACCATTTCGAAAACTTAAATTTTATGTTCATTCTAAGACGTAGTATCACTTTAACTGCTAGGTGATATATATACCTATTAAACGAATATAAAAGAGCTAGGTGTCGAAATGAGACTGCTTCAGGCATATGTCGAGAAAGGAACCTTAATATTTTAAACCTAGTTTGACATGGACCTGAGGATTTTTTAACCTATAGTTGACATGAACCTTATGATATTTTAACCTAGTTTAAACTTGGAAATAAATCGAATGCCACAACTATTATTTCTATCAATTAAATAGACAAAACGTTTATAAAATGTAAGTTTAAAAGGCAAAGATCTCTATTTTTCACAGCGAAATGAGGATGGAACTATAACAAGGAAAAGGAAAATGCCGATTACTGTCACACCACTCGGAAGTGAAGTCAATTCTGCCCGAAGTTTACTTAATATTTTCTTTAAAACCAGCCATGATTTTAATTTCCTCAACAACTAGATCACCGAGAAAAATTCTACTTCCGTATTTGACTCTGTGTGGATTTGATTATATAAGTGGCAAAATCTCCTAATAGGAAACGAGGTGAATAGGTTTGGTTTGATTAGTTCATTAGCAACAACATTCAGAATTTTCCTCATTGAACATAGTCTTTTCATCACAATTTTGAAATTGTGCTACAAAAAAAGATGAAACTGTAGTCACGATCAGGTTGTTGTGTGCAGGGGCTATCTGTATCTAATTTGGAAGACGGGCAACGCCAAACGATATGTGCATGAAAAACAGCAACACTAGCTTTTCAGTTATCGAAGGGTCTTTAACGTGCAAAACCTGTAAAACACGGAGCTCTCTTGATTATTCCATACCATCGACGCTTTTGCAATGCTATGCCGGTATCGACCCTTGAACCTTGAGGTGAACAAACATGATTGTGACTGGACAATTAAACTATTTCACACAGAACGCTCTGGTGGCAATAAAAATACCCCAAAAACCTATAAGCGTGATATGCCTAATCCGATTCACTATAAACACATTCAAATATTTGTTTTGTTGTTGCGAACTAAGCAAATGTAATATTCCCTTCAATTAATTTTAATCCCAAATGTTTCACATAAAATTCTAAATGATTTTCCATGGAGTTTATCTGTTTGAGTGCATTCCCAAGGTGTAAAATTAAAGTAGACAAGCGCGAATTATTTCAGTAATTAGGACAGGTTTTAATACAAGTCTTATTATATATACATGGAAACGTAATTGTATTATGGTTATCTACTACATTGTATTCCCTAGTGTGCGGTAAAAACTTAGCTCGATTGTGCGATAAAAATCTTGTCACCTGATACTATCTTGATGGCATTAGTTTGAAATTAATCAAGTTACATTGCATGTGTTCTTACCATTTACTATAATATTGTATTCAGAATTAATTATAAATATCCTCAAGGTCACCGTGCTGGTATTTAAGTGGGTATTTCCGTATGAAATTATGAGAATTTTGTTGCACAGAGCTAGCAAACATGAGGATTATTTTGAAATTCTGAAACTAATTTCACCGTAAAATTTTTAGAAATTTTTAAGGTAGTATTTTAAGAAGTTTGAAATGTCTTTACCTTAGAAATAACCCATTCAACACTTTTTTGTGCAGAGTTTGCTGAAAAACTATGTAATGGGAGAGATGGTTTTATCCAGTAACAATTGAGTGTACAAATATGATTTATTATAATGTCATGTTAGTAACTGAATGGAATGTTGTTATTGATAAGTGATCAGGCTACAGTTGCTCGCTTCCATCTTCTTGTCAATTGCATGTAGTTCCCAAGCTGTGATTTACGTAGTTCTACTATGTGGATGACATATTTGGGCGGAAATAATTTATAGAATGATACAGAACTCATAAAATCACTAACTGGAATAAATATCCTTTTGTGTTTAAGGATTTTATATGGGAATCAACAGTTTTCACTTTGCTTTCATGTAAAATATTGCAATAACGCATATAAATTCTAAATTCTGTCTAGCTACAAAGTTGATCGAATTCCATTTCAATTATCAATCTGTTCTTTTCGAATAAAAATTCAGTACAATTCGGCAAAAAGGGTTCACAATTTTAGACTGCAAGTTGTTAGGCTTATGGCGTGCAGTTATTATTGCTGTTAAGTAATTCATAATGGATAATCCTGAATTGCAGGAGATTCTGGTGATGGGATTAACATTTTGAAAGGTGATTTTGATAGTTTGAAGCGTGCCATTGTAGTGATGTAAGAAAATAGCCTTACATCCTGGAGAATGTTCTCAATGTCGTGTTTCGACAAATATGTCGAATGGGCTGTCCAATATAACATAAACACATTCATTATCACAAACTTTTATTCCACATTTACAGACATAATATAACGGTATTAAATGATAAATTATAGAAATCTATTTTATTTTATGATAAATCATAGGCATTTCTTTATTACAAGACATGCAGTTTGTGCACATCGTTTTGCACTGTTACGTTGTTTTGATTCTGGTCGATCAACGATGCCAAAGATTAAAAAATGACATGATGTATGTTAAGGCAAAGCATATAAGATACTTTCTAAGCTTAAATACACAGTTCTGCAAATCTGATCTAATCTGATCGGATAGACTGACGATTGATTCAAATCATATAAATGGATATATCACTCGCATCGAAATATTAGCAACTGAGATCGAGTAGATGGTCGCAGATAATGATCGCCCTGCTCAACTTTCTCACTCAACTGTCGTGGTGTTTTCATGTAGGCTAAATCCGGTGATTGATCTGAGCTGTCGTCTAAACTCCAGTAGCCAGTCTCAAGGTAGATACGAGCACCCTATAAGGCAAGAAAGGATACGACTACAGATATAAGTACCCATCTTCCCGAAAGTCTTACCAAAATTTTACCACAGTTTTCACCCCTATTTATTTCAATACATCAAGATTTACATTTAATGCCATGACACACTCCTTCTTGTGTGCTTAATTACGTGGCGTAACTTGAAATTAACAGCAAAAAAGTCAGTGATAAGTAAGTTTTTCTGGTCCTTCATATTTATAAATATTCACATCTGTCATTTGAAAAGAATTACAATCACTATAACGAGCCATTTTATAATCGGATTTCTTCGTATTCTGAAACTTACAGATGAAGAACAGCTTCTTGATGCCTTCCCGAAAATGTGGGTTAATCCAAAAATACACGAAGGGATTGTAGCAGGAATGACTCATAGCTAACCAATGAAAACACATCCATAAGTACACCATGTAATCTGAGTCAAATATGGTTGGATCTTGGTCTCCAATTAAAGTAACTACGTGAAGAGGCAACCAACACACAGCGTAGATCGTTACGACTATAATAATCATCTTGATTAACTGAAAATATAAGTTACGTGTAAAATGAAATATTTTTTTTATAGTAAAAGAAAATGTATTTCCATAAACACTGGCATTCATAGGAATGAAGAGTATTAAATATTTCATTCGGTAGTCAATAGAGCTAAATTTAAGCTTTTGAAAAGTGAGGTTAAACGAATGAAAACTCTTTCACAAAATATTTCGACGCAGATCAAGATCATACAATTGTATAGTTAGTAATGTGCACCATTAACTCGATATCTGGCCCCAATCGAACGGAGATATCTGGATTAGATACATTCATACTCGACCTCGAATGCAGGGATTGACATTTCTAAATGTTATGTCGAGTATTTGCATAGTGCATACTCTAGTTATAATGCAAGATGAGGGAAATGGGCCAATCAATATTCAGAATATCTGTTTAATCAATCAAAGAATTATATATAACTGCAAGGGAGTGGATTGAAAAAAGAATAACTGCTAAGGTTCTCGAGGACGACTTCTGCCAACTTGTCCTATACCAATCTTCTAGACGATGTCCTTTCTCAGATTACCCATACCCAATTAAAACTAGATCGAGGAATTTCACACATCAAGCGAGATAAGAACAGTTTTTAGTCTAAAATACAAAGTAAATACGCACCCGTCTTTTGGAAGCTGCTAATCGTTGATCTCGTTCTTCTTCGGCTTCACCTGGAGTTTTCTTAATCCACACCACATAGCCTATTCTACAGTTAGTATACACCAATACAAGTAATGGTAGAAAATACTGTAATAACATTACCACAATGCTGTAAATATATTTTCTTGAGGGAGGGTCCCAAACCTCTAAACATTGTCCCTTGGCTGAGGGATGGTATGTCAAGTTAGAGAAAGAGATCTTGGACATTATTGCCGTTGGAACAGGCACTATAAAAGCTAGTATCCACACCAATACAATGAGATACCGAGCTTGCTTTTTAGTCAATTTCGGCTTCAGTGGATACATGACAGCAACATATCTATCCAAACTCATAACTACTAGAGTAAACGCACTGAAAAACACGGCTACCACCTGTATGTAGGTAACAAGCGGGCACATAAACGCCCCAAAAGGCCAATACATTAATATCAGATTAGCGACAAAAGTAAATGGATTACAGATTACCGCCTTAACAACATCACTGAATGCTAGATTCAGAAGAAACAGATTTGTGATCATTCCTCGCATTTTACGACTTGATAAAATAATATAGCATACGGCTAAGTTCCCGCCAACAGCAACAGCTATCAACAACGAATACATAAACACAAGTGTCACTTTAACATATTGAGGTAACTCCGTGGTTAAATTGCCAGTCACTGTCACACTGAAGTTTCCACTTGATGTCCAGTTCTCCATCACGATGTTCTCTATATATACTGGTGTTGAAATGCGTTCATACGATATACTTTCTTGCGAGCTGTATGATTAACACTCAACTGAAAGAATAAAAAAAGACCAGAAGTTACAACTAAAGTATAATATTGGGGTGTTTAAAGAGTTTAATATTGTTACGATATATAAGCATACTGTATCATCAGAGACACTCAACGGCTTGCAAGATAGTTTCTGTAATGTACCGTCTTCCACCTAATGCAGTAGCACTTTAGCAGACAAGAGTATCGGAAAATATATTGGGTTGTACATTTTTATCATCAAAGTATTAGTATAGTAGATCCCTGTCAATCAAATACGATTAGTGCTGTTTCATTCACATTAAATTGCAAGGAAAAAAGAAACAATTTTCTTGAAACTTGATTCATGTGATGTTTTATCTGTTCAAAGCTGTTATCGTTTTAATATTACTCGAACACTGTTTTATCGCCATTCACAAGCACTCTTATTAACATCGTCTTTAATAAATAACTTTTTTTAAATCTCGGCAATATTGCTTTGTATAGAAACATACATTAATGATACTTCAAATGACAATGGTTTAAGTTATTAAAAACTGTGACATTAATGGAAAGATTTTTATCGACATTTTACAAACTAGATTCTATACTGAGTGTTCCGAATTAAAAACAGTAGCTTGTTGAATTATTTACATACATTTCTAATATACAACTATTTTTATGTATATCAAGTTTGATTATCAAGTTAGATAACAATTGGATCCAAACCTGACCACTTTCGCATTCATAAGCTAATTGTGGACGATCAGAATAACGGACCTGTACAGTTTAGATGTACAAACTTGCCACACAACTTGGTTTATTATGTAAGCTATTAATCTGATCTGTGATAAGGTTTGATTCCAGCGAGCTATTTCATAATTGGTGTTGACAGTATTAAGAAGAAATACATATTGGCAAGTCGAGAAGTGTCAGAGATGCTTTTCAAAAAGTTAAAGCTGCTATGGAATTTGCTGCTGTTATGGTTATCATGCTATATAGCCTTTAGAGCAACCCCTCGTTTCTTTTGCAATGCGTTACCATATTGGTATGAAACTGGCATTGCACACAGAGCTACGGTCTTCTTGTAATAAGATTTGTTGGCTGAATACAACTAACATACAAGTTCAACTGAATCGAGAGAAGAAATGTACACTTGCGACTGTCGACAATGAAACTATATGTTTTCAACTAAAGTTACAACTTCCTTGATTTTTCATGTATCATCTTATTAAGGACAATAATGGAGGTCGTAAATGATAAAGTGAAATCTGTAATAGCATCCATGCACGATACACGATACTATGTCATTTTTGCCAGTACATTCAGATCTCGCTGTCATTTCTTAAAAAATAAATGAGTAGTCTCCGTCAGGTGAAATAAATTGAAATGATATGTAATCTGGATCAAATTGAAACGCTCTGTTAAAATGGAATTGTCAATAAGACAAAAAGAATTGTTTTCGTGCTTGATAAGAAAACTAAAAGAAAAACGAGAAAGGATAAAAAACTAAGACACTTTTTGTTCAAATGGTTTAAAACTAATACCAATCAGGCTATCTTAGAGGTAATATAAAATATTAACCTTTTATCTTTCATTGTCTCCAATTGGCAATTTTTGTTGCAAGCAGATTTTGACACAGCATTAGACTGTTCAGCATTCTGTTCAACCAATATCACTATTTGTGTTAGTCCAAAAAAAAACTTATATCGAAATGCCACCTGAAAGTTTTCCCAATTAGTTACGTATCTAACTTGTAATGAACTATAAAGATATAGAATAACCTGACATTTATCTTAACGACCTGAAAAGTTTTATTCAGTGTCTAGGGCATGCGACACATACTTCCTCTTTGGATTAACATTACACTGTCTCGAACAGAACAATAAAACATATTGACAAGAGATAAGTCGTCTTAATATTTGCTTTGTCAGTTGATAAACCCCATTCCACCCCCTGTATGTATTTCAGAATAATAATATAATGACGATATGTGTAATTCGTGTTGAAACGTTGTGTTCAATATTTTACAAAAGAAATGTGCTTATTCCATAATATTGTCTTGTGTTTGTAATATAACTCTCCTCATTTCTAAATGTTGTTCAAGTCTTATATTTCTAGACACTTAAAAATTGGAAATATTCACAATATTCACATGGTTGCTCATTATGTGGCTTAACTATCCCCATTGGTTAAAAATATACTGATGGATGAAGTCTGGCAGATGGCTAGACATATTCCAATCGTTCTAGACCCAAAGCGATTTTTAATATAATTCAGTGTCATCAGAGAACAATTCATGCCAAAATCGGAATTGTAGCCAAAAGAACCATAAACTTTCCAAAATTAGAATTAATTAAAGGTTCACAAACACAAATCTAATCTTGTCAGACGGCCGAAAATAATCAATTTTAAACAATGACATCAGACAATAACAGATATGTTGTTGATAAATGCAACCAAAGAGCTCAGATACAGATAAATTGCCGTATGTTGGTCGGATGTTTTTAATTCGACTTAAAACCAAAAACCAAACTATACTTCTTCAATTTGGAAAGATTCACAGCTCACATAGCAACCAAAAGGTGGGCAGTTTGGGAAAATTAAATTATTGATTTATTTCGGTCTATATTATGGAGTGAGAAATAATATTCTATTCAATTCCGCGTTACTTACCAATGGAAGACGTGCTCGTTTAGCAAAAGGTTACAGACAGACACAGTGTTAGTAAAGTTGATCCGTGAAATTTGAACGTTTGTCAATTTAATTGTGCAGTAGACCGGACAATAATATCGATGGTTTCAGACGTTTATATGAATAATGTACAAAATATACTATCTTTATAGCGTTAAAGGGATTGAAAAGGTGTTTTTGCCACTGTATGTGTGTCGCTACATTTATAAAATAAAATAATATTGTCAACAAATCATTTCTTGTTTCTTGTAACATGTGAGATATATAGCGGTATTGGTATCTCAGATGGTTAATGTCACGAGAGTCGAACGTAATTGAATGTCAAACTTTATTAATTTGATTGTATTTTTGTTAAACACATTTGTGACTCTGTGAACTTCATACTTTGGAATCCCTTCTAAAAACATGTTTGATATTTACAGATCGTCTAACAAAGTTGTCGTTGCCCATGCTAATGTCCATGGCTGAACAAATGCTCGTAAACAGTCTACTTAGACGGAAGTAGTTAAGATCGTTTATTAACACCTAGAGATAATCCCGATGTAAGCTTATAAAATCGAGGAAATCCGCTCAATTTACAACAAATAAACACTGGATCATAATTAATCAAGGTGGAACTCTATCAAAAACAATTTGATATGCCATAAAAGTCCTTTCAAGATTAACTGGATATTTGATCTTAATCTGTTTCTTTTCCACGAGGTCTGTGATTTCAGTCCAAAAAATCCAGTTAGTCCTACCAATGATATATAATCCATTATATTTTTTGATAAGACTTCAAACAGTTCATTACTTCAGGATGGGTTCCCTTATTTTTATTTATGAAAATGAAAATGTAGAGGTGTTCTAATGACTTGGAAAAATAACAGTTACATTAGCTACATTAGAAGGGAATTACCAATTATCAATTTGATACTAAAAAATAAGGAAGCCCGTCTTTAAGGAATATCCTTTGCGAAAACCCCCCAAAAATTGCTTAAAGAAATGTATGACTAAAGGCTGAGGGCCGTATGCAGCGCTCTTACCTTGACTAAAGTTGAACTTTGGCTAAAGTCGAACTTTACAAAGTTAGGTTTAAGGCTTTCATTTTCTACATTTTGATAGTCAAATCTAAGCACGACTTTCGTAAAGATCGACCGGTGCATACCTAAAGTTCAACTTAAGTCTAACGTTGGTCAAAGTTTAGGTAATTTGGCCCTTAGTATTTCAATAATGTGATGGTTGTGGTTACAACAAATCTACCAGTGGAGTATTTTAACATGCCTGGCAAGCTATCTTTTTTATAACAATCAAATTAATATCGGTTTACAAACGTTTGTTCTTCACAATACCATCTTATCACGAATGCCACCAAAACACCGACCCATCTCAGCAACCAACTACAAATAAAAGGACTTAAAACACGATCAAGATCACAGAAATAATCCGTAATTGAAAAGTTCATTCTTTGAATTTAAATCCATACAATTAATTGAATTCCCAATCCGTATCACTGACATGTATTAGACTAGAATAATCCTAAACGAAGAATACGACCTAATCTTGTTCATCCAAAACCCGTCGATATTAAAATACTTCTATAATAAGCTTTCTTTTGATAAACAAATATCAAGCAATCTAATACATTTCAAGGCAAAACTTTGGTGCGTTGATAACAACGATAGCGTAATTGGCATCCATAATTTTCTTGCCATGATGACCTCGATAATGCTAATCCTGAAAAAATGCAATGAGCTTGGGAACTACATTACGAATGCACATTATCAGGTGCATACTAAATCAAACATAATGATTGCCCCTATGACAATGACACAATTTAAGCGGTATCGCATCTCAATATTAGATCCGAAATTCATCATGATTAGCCAATATTAAACTATACGAAGATCTGCATATCAAATCAAATTATGTCAAATATAGTAAAATTTAAAACGCTCGTCTGTCTCTATAATTGGGGAACTGGGTCGTTTAGTTTAGAAATAGCTGGATCCATTGTATCGTATCTTACAACACGATAATTTTATCATTATATTATTTTGGACGTCATTCGCGACTGTTATGAAATGTGAATCAAATTTATGAATTTAAATAGTAATGTTTTATGTACGTTTTACTTCAAGGGAGGGAATTCTCTGACATTTTATCTGACCACTGAGGCTACTTATGAATTTTGTT